GAGACACCTCGTTGCGGCGGGGCCAAGCTCCAAAGAAGCCAGTCACGCAGGCAGGAGAATCCCAGCTCCCACGGGGCCAAGAGGTGGCCGTCCGCGACGTTTCCGCCCGCGGAAAACCACACGTGAGAGCTCTTTGCTGTTTCAAGAAGATGCCAGCAGGCAAACCCCTGCCTGTGACAGCTCAGGTACAGCTCCCTTTCTTTCATCATGCTTCAAGAATATGCGCGCTCCATTTATTTATTTATTTTGGCCTAATTTCGTCGTGGATTACTGCCTTCAAAAATGGTGCCAATATACATGGCCGGAGCTACGAAGAGTAATAAAAGGAAAAGGATATCTTGGTTATACAAATGCCCCGGCACTCCCCGGCACTCCCCGCCATCGGCTACTGAATGCTGCTCGCACGCAGTGGAGTTTCCAAACAAACGATTCGACTGATATCACGGCGCGCTCTCGTTGTCTCTCTCGCTTCCCCCTTCTCGGTTCCGCAACCCGCGCCCGCGCCTGCGCTGGTATCCTTCCCCGTTCTTCGATTCAGATGAGTCCAGGCCGAAAATCGTCATCCGCACGCCGTTTTATGCTTCTAATCCGTTTCCGTCCGTCCGTGACCGTCACGGCCACCAGTTCATCGTCTTGTAGCTCTCAATCACCTCCTCGACCAATTCCTTGGTCAACTTGGGCTTTTCGTACTGGAAGCCGACAACCTGTTCTAAGCGGTTACCGTCCATGCTCAGGTCCGTATCTTTCAACAGCTCCTTCTCCATGAAGGGCGTAAGAGGTCCCGGCCGCGCAATGCCCGCCTTCTCGAGCAGTTCGGCCCATGGTCCCATGAGCTCGTCGTTGACGTCGTCGACGACGCTGTCCATGTTCAGGCGCGCAAATGTGCTGATGAGTTGTCCCTGAAATCCCGTTTCGATCTTGAAGATGTCGCCAATAATCTCGGACATGGTGCCTTGTGTGGTGATGCCCTTGTCGACAACGTTAAACGTGGGCACCTTGCCCATGGTCTTGACATCCCACTTGTCCTGGCCTTTGCTGTACCACGCCGTGATATCCCAAAGTGCTCGTACGGCATCTGTAATGTGTACCGTGTTCTGTCGGAGGCCCTTGTCCCACAGCCACTTCATTTCGCTCTCCAGGTATTGGTAGACACGGGCCATGCAAAGTGCCGTTGCGACCCATTGCGACGCGTACGGGCCGTAGACGTGTGCCAAACGCACAATGATGAGATTCAGTCTAGAGAAAGAGTGTCGTTGAGTCAGTTTGGAACGATACACGATAATGTGCCCCACAAGGTAAAGGGAGCTCTGGGAACGCTTGGTGGCGACGCCTTGGATACGTACCCCTCAATTTTGGCCAACTCCTCCTCGGCCTGCAGCTTGTAGACCGCGATCTTGCTCCAAGGCTTCAACTTGTCGCCCTCTTTGCTTGGGGACGAGTCTGACTTGTAGACCATGCCGGTGCTGAGCTCGATGAAGGCCTTGACCTTGCGCTTGGCCGCCTCCTTGCCAACAGCAAGCGACAGGCCGAGAGAGCGCAACTTGTAAACCTCATCCTCTTGCGAATATCTCGTCTCGCCGCCGCAATTGAAGACGTAGTCCCACTGTTTGCCGTCGGCGCGGTCGAATATCTTTGCTAGGGCTTCTGCAACAGGGCAAAGAAAAAGCAAGAAACGTTAGCCGAGAGGGACATGACAGTTGGTTATTTATCTGGGGTGTTGGGTCGGTTGGTAGCTTTGGAGACCCCAGAGACAGAGGGGGGAGGGGAGGGGCTACAGAGAAGAGAAGAGACGAGAAGAGGAAGAAGAGACATGAACGAATGAGTATTGGAGGGCGGTGAATGGGAAAGAAAAGGAGAAAACAGGTCATGTCGTCGTTTAGGTCTGGTGACTTACGTTCTCTGCTTGCATCGGCCTGCATGAATTTGCTGCCGGCGCAGGCGTCCTGGAATTCGGGAGCAAGCCATGCGAGTTGGGGCAAGGCCTTGTCGACAACGCGGACCTCTGATGCGAGGTCATTGTCGTGGATGTAGCGGGCCAGGAAGCGACCGATGTAGCCCAGCCCCCCGATGATCAGGACTGAGGGTTTCTCGGCCATGGTGAAGGGAAGGGGGAGGGGGGATTCGGTGGCAGAGGCGGTCGTCGAGTGGTTGTGCGTTTGTGTGCGGTGTTGTGTCGTCGGAAAGAAAAGGATATTACGAGCAGCGCAGGTTGACGAGTTTGGGGGCAGAGGGGTTCGAGGTCGTGGTTGTGGTGGTGGTGCACTGGGCGCTCAGCGGCAAGGCGGGAGGAAAGGTACCTCTGACGGGCAGGGACGACAAGGACAGCGAGGGTAACGGACGGCGGGGTTGACGTCTGGTGTCCAGGTTCCCGTCGAGTTAGGGGTGAGTTGCCCTGGCCCCCTGGAACGAGAGTTGCAGCACCGGGATTGCGCGAGTTTAGTGTAAACCACGGTGCAGCGGGATGGATGCGGGCGAAGCTCGGCAGGGGGGCTTCGAGGGGGGGCGACGGTCCAACCGGGATAGTTTGTGGGAAGGACTTGGGGAGGGCGGCGAACGAAGATGGCAGACGGATGGCCTTGATTAGGTCCAAGTTATGGATAGCAGGGCAGTCAATGTTATTGAGGTCAGGTGGCAGAGGCGGGGAGACTAGTCGGAGGGGTGTGATGAGGAATAGAAAGAGAGAGGAGAGGAAGAATAAGAAGGAGAGAAGCGGACGAGGGGGGCAAGAGTAATAATGACAAAAAGGAGGTTGTAGGCTTAATGGTGGTGTGCGTGGGTGCGCCTATATATGTATATATGTGTTTGTGTAAGGTACGCAGTATGGTATGTTTGTGCGTCTAAAGCAGGGAAAGGAAAGGTATGGTAAGCTAGGTGTGCGCGTGTATGTGTTGTTCAAGTGTAAAAGATTCGAGTTGGTTGGTTACGTCTAATGATATCGAAAAGCACATAAGTCAAGGTAGCAGCAGCGTTGCGCACGTCGTGGAAAAAGACAAAATCGACGGAAAAAAAAACTTGAGACGACACATGGTCCTTTCCCCTTTTTCTTCTTTTGTGTTCCCTTCCGTGCGAGTATAAGAATAATAAGGAGAAAATAGTCAAAAAATTTAGCGGAGATGCAGCAGCATAAAAAAAGAGACGAAACAGAGCAAAAACAAGCTCCAGTACGGAGGATCCTCCAATACAATGGTGCTGTCATTCAAAACGGGGGCTAGATGGATATTGGAGCGGGCCGTGGAAGTTGGAACGAATGGAGAGCGGGTCAAGGGACGAGGGGGGCACTGGGGGGGGGCCTACCTACTACTGCACACATAGTATGAAGACTCGAAGAAAGTGGGAGGAAAAGAGGAGATTTGGAAATGACAATATCTCCAGGGACAGCACACACACGTACACGCACACACAAGTTACCTTACCATACCAAAGCACTCACAGTCTCACTTGTTGTAATCGAGAGGGCTCTCGTTCATCAAGCTGCCGATGGATAGCCGGTGGAGCCTTTATGCCGCTTCAAACTTCACACTTACAGAGCTGAACCCTGCCAGGTGCTTTGGCTGCTGTTGCCTCTCTCACTTGAGTAGGTACCTACCTTAGGTAACTCGGGGACAACTCCTGCCACTTCCATGCTCTCCGCCAGCTTCAGGTCCAGGCAGGTCCAACGCCTAGTCCATTCTTTCCTTGACTTCTTGGTCTCCGTAAGGTACCTTACTGGGGCTGTGTATTCAGTATTCACCAAGCAAGAACACATAACTTTGCTCCCATCAGCTCTTTCCTCCGGATTCCCGAGCCCCTGTCTGCTGACCTCACCACCACCATGCCACACCTTGCTTACCTACGTGCCTACCTGTTCTAAGTACCTATACTGCGTAAGCTAAGGTAGCTTTAGTTCGCAGCTGCTCTCATCGGTGTCTTCCCGCCATCATCTCAAGTTTCAATCTACGCAGCTCGCTGACATGTCCCATATTGTCCTGCCTGCCGTGCCAGCTCCGCCTGAGTCACTCCGTTGACACGCTAGCGATCCTTTGCCTTCTCCAAAGTCCAGAGAGCATCCTTTTCCAACACCCTGAACCCTGGCTGCGGCGTAATCCACCAAGAAACCAATCCCCGATCCAAAGGAACATGTTCTGGCGGCGGCTACTGCGCTCTATCTTAATCGATACAAGCACCTAGTATCCCTACGTCCACAGTCATACCCAAGTGCCGTGCTAGATTTTCTACCGAATGAAGAACTTTGGTACGGATAACGTGCCTCTACTATCTGAGAAGGGTCGCGATATCACTCTCACTAGGTAAGCCAGCGTTCCAAGGGGCGAAATACCACCGACCACTAACTAGATTGTACGACCAAAGCTCCGGTATCGCATGCTCATCTTCATCCGATATCGACCGTCTTCGCCAAGCTGCTTCTTCGCCATCCCCCCGCTCACACTCGGTCACACACATAAACAATGCCATGGGGATTCGAGAGCCATGGGCTGGACACCAAGACGGTCTGCCGCTTGCCGCCTTGTCGCGAAATTTACAGTGCCCCGTGCTTGCTCAGAAACCCCACATCGTTGCAGCAGCAAGATATCCCCCGGTCCACTCCATGCCCGTGGCGTCCACCATCTGTTGAGCGACGACAAGCATCCTCTATCAATTATCGTCACAAGAGGGGAGGGGGAGGTCAGCCACATTCATCAATGAACATTCGTACTGCTGGAAATCGAAATCCAGACAAGAAACTTGTGTCTGTCTGCTGCTCAGAGCCTTCAACCGGGCCTATCCCCGTCACCTCTTAGCCTGGTCGTCGTGATTGTCGTCACACTTTCTTGCATCTATTGGCTCCGTCGAATCCCAAATACCCGGCAGAGACATGCGTGCAATGCGTCAGAGACAGAATACCTATACTCGCCAAAGAGAGACATCGGTGCCCTTAGTTGGAAAAAAGGCCATGCAAGGTACGCGCTCACGGTGCCCTCGCAGTGCAATCCTGCGCCCTAATTGCCTTCTATTGTCCAATAATGTCTCTTGACAGCCTCGGATTCTGTTGCGTTCCGACTCAGGTTTCTCCCAACACATGCCTGATATCGTGTCCAACCCTTCCCGTGCCACCGAGATCTTCGCCAAAAAGCAGGGAACAATCCATGCCCGATGGCAGCTTGTCGATTTCCCTCCCGCTATTCCCGGTCTTCCACCCACGCACTCACTTCAACACTCGCGGCTTGCCCTGCTTGCCGGCCGGCTTCTCCGTCTTTTCTTTTCATTGTCCGGCCCGGGCCAGGAACCACGGCTATCCACAGCTCATCCCCTAAAGTCAAGACAGTGATACAACAGATCTTGTCTCACCATCAGCCTCGATTTCGAGTAACACGCCCATCTCGTTGAAAACAAATTACGAAATGACCAATGCGAGATGCAAAAAAAACAAACTTCTTATTGGCTCTCCTGTTCCTGTTGGCTACCTTGCGTCCCAAGCTTCCGGCTAGCGCCAGCGGCGCGAAGTGTCCATCCCATGGATCCCGCCCCGTTCCCGCTCAGGGGCCTTCCATGATGCTCTTCGCAGATGGGTGCTTCTTGCCTGGGCCATGCCGCCGTACTTCAACTTTAAAAGGGGCTACTAACCAGTGAACCGCACTCGCACCGGCGCTCCACGAGCGGGTTCGGGCTTGGGCTCAGCTTTCGGCCATTTGGCTTTTCGCGTTTCGCATCTCCCTGCATCCTGCATGCGGGGAGTCCTAGAGGAGATCTGCTGCATGTTCTAGAAATCTTGTGGGATCTGTTCTGCAACGGAACACGCATGCTTTCTTTTTCGGGCGAAAGTGAGTGCTAATCCATTTATCCAAATTACCAACCCTTATCTTGCCGCTTTTCACATCAGCTAGGCCCCTGAAGATCAACGAGGGCACGAGAGACATTGGCTGGCACCGTACTCACTTTCATGTGTTTCCCAAAATAATTGACTTTGGCATTTTGGTTATGCGCCACCAAGGCACGAACACCAGCGTCGACGCCAGCGCCAGCGCCAACGCCAACGCCAACGACGTTGGAGCTAGGAACCCAGCCGCCCTCGGCGCCAGAGACAGAGCCAGAGCCAACTATTGATGTTGCAGGTCCGTCATCAAGCCAAGGGGGCTCCACAGCACCAACCCATGCAGCAACCGCCAACTCTGTCAGGTCTCTTCCTTAGCAAACCAAACCCCCGCCTTGAATGGACAGCTCCCGCGTCGGCGCGTTAACCGCCTAAGCTTCGACAGGCAACGTTGGGCATCATTCGCCCAGTGCGACACTCATGCTCTTCGTCATCAAACAAATCCTGACTGCGCCCCCGAAGCCTATCGAAAGGAGATGGGGAGCCCGGTGTTCGCTGAGTATCAAGGTCCGCGTATCTCACATCTTTAAACAGACCGAGCCGGACATACAGCGTGAATCCGACGATGCCAGTGTTACCGGGTTCGCTTTAGAGCTTACCTTTCAGCTAGGCACACTAGGTAGGTTACGGGGGTTTTGGCTGATCGGATCTGTTTGTGCAATTGCGTGTCCTACTTCTGAGAACGAGAACGAAAGTCAGAGTCAGACTCAGAATGGGCAACGAAGTCTCTGTCAGCGCTGGCTCAATTTGATCCGAACATTTGTAGGACCCCTACTATCGGTCCTAATTTGACGCATAGTTTACGGTATGGGCAGTATTATGCAACCACGTTCCTGGCACACTTATAATCGCCGCGAGGTTGGAATTGCTTTTACTTCGGCAAGTCTCTGACTGGCTTCTGTGTAAAACGAATTCGGCTTCCAGGCTATTGAGTGGTGTTTCTCACGATTTCGGTCCACATTACGTTACACGATAATCGTCGAATCGATTCCCGGCCTGTCACTTTGCGGGCATAGCCAAAGGAACCTGTTGCGTCAAAGCAATTAGCCGCAACTAAGCTTACTGCATGTAGGCGAACCATACCGGTGTCATACTTGATCGCTTCACTCTCAGTTACCTATCCGAAGATTGTCTCTTGATCCTCGCGGGGCGCTTGAAAAGTGAGAGTATAGCTGAGGATCGAGGACTGCCAGAACTAGAGCAGGCTGGAAGATCTTGCCGGAAGCTTACATGAGTAGCTTGCCGTGTGAGCCTACCTACTTACTCTGTTTGCACTCCTTGTCAAGTTCATCGACCTTATCTTGCCCATCCATTGGTCGAGTCAACAGACCGGCTTTAGGAGGGATCTTGCGAACAATTGCGTCCACTCGGTGCTGAGCTGTGATTTGAGCTGATGCCAACCAAGTCCCGCCCACGAAGCCGGTTCTCTTCTTTATGGCTGCTAGGGGGCCAGGAAGAAACCCTCACCTGTTGATTGAGGTCTTCGCATGAATACATGGCCATGATGACCTCCTACTTTCAACGTTGAAGATATCGAGCCTTTCCCCCACGTCGTATATTGCAGAGGTTTATTTGCTCGTTTCCAGTCAAACGTGTCCCTAAATTGCCAGTGCGCGCTGCTATTAACCGTGATCAGATCTTCAGGCAAAAAAAAAACGAGACTACACACGCCGAATCGGTGCTGGTGCCGCGCAACATGGACTGAAAATATGTCCAGAGTCTACAACGCATGTCTCTATGTAGAAGAAACCATATCCGAAAACCAAGGACTTGTATACTTGCGTATACCATAAAGAGGCAAAGAGACGAAAAGTCTTGAAGCCGGTGTGATGGTCCATTCAAGCGCCACAGTGATACAGAGATCCAACAGAGCCTTGTCGAACGCAAATCGTGCCGAACATCGGAGACAAACTTCTCTCCCCCAAACCCATACACGTCAAAAACCGAATCAGGCAAAGGGACGCTGCAGTGAGATGGATCACTCAAGGACAAAGAGGTACACGTGATTTTGGATTACAGCCATACCGTCTTTTTTTTCTTCTCTATCGCCTGTTTCGTTCTTGCTTCAGAAAAGAGTGGACGGGAGTGATGGGCTACAGCCCTGCTGCCGGAGCAAGAAAAAAATTCATCCGCCAAGGGATCTAGAGATTCAAGACAAGAGATGTAGGCACGCGCGATCGTTTCCTTTTTCTCCTCCACCGACGCCAACGACGCAAAACAGCGAAACTCGATCTTGGGGGATATTGAAAAGCCCGGCTTGGAAAATGCCAAGCCGAACAACCCGATCTCAACATCCGGCGCCACACCCGTGCTACTCTCATCCACCACCAACCACGATGCCCGCAATATCATGAGCGGGGTATCAATCGTAGCTCCAATTCCTAGGATACAGCCTTTGATGAGCTCAAGGAGAATCAGAACGGGTTCACATCACTTCTGCATGCTCCCGATAATCTCCCTCTGCGCCGCGCGGTCCCTACCAGCCTCGCTAAGGCTGCCCACGCTCCGCAGGTCGCCGACGACGTCCTTGGCCTTGCCAAAGTAGACCTCCTGCAGCAGGTTACGCATCTTGAGCTCCATGTCCTCGACGAGCCGTCCCACGTTGGCAATGTGGCTCTCGTCGCCGTCGACGGGGAGCTCCTGCTCAACCTGCCGCGTCATGTTGCCGCTGAGGTCCATGTCGCCCAGGGCGTTGGTCGAGGTGGAGAGCGAGAGGATGACGGTCGAGGTGAGCTTGTACTGCGTCGTGCGGCCGCGCTCAATGGCCTCGAAGACGTGGATCGAGTCCCATACGCCCTCTGCGCTTCCGCCGGGGGTCGCGGCTGTGGTTGTGAGGTGTCTTGTCAGCTAAAAAAAAAAGAAAAAAAAAAGATCCAATTCCTGGTCACAGGCAGAAACGCACATTTCTTCAAGAGAACCACGCCAGCGAATCCATCGTCTAGGTTCCAAAAGTATACGCTGCTCACACCACCCTCGTAGTACAGATCTCGGTACACGTCAAACGCCTCATTGGCCTTGACCTCCATCTTGCGGACCCTCTCGCTCGGGATCGCGCCTTCGCCGGCGCCCTCGCTACCGCCGGCACCGACGCCGCCAACGCCGCCCTCGTCTAGAGGCGGGTCGAACTGGTTGCTCCATGGAGAGCGGTAGCTGTCGCCGTCGCGGTTGTAGTCGCAGAGGAGGTAGTCGCGGCCCGTCTGCTTGCAGCGCTTAACGGTCAAGGGTTGGTCGACGGACGAGAGAAGGTCCTCCGTCAGATCCGGTGCGAGGGAAATGATTGCATTCAGGTGGTCGGTCGTGTGTTTCGGGTTCAGTCGGCGGAGGAGGTCGCTAGACGGGGAGAACACGCGGCAGAGGTTAGAGATGATTTGCTTTGATGCATGACGTTGAGGGGGTCAGGGCCGCTGCGATCTTACAGAGCCGAGTCGAAGGGGTCGACGGAGGCCATGATGGGCTCTTTGTATGTGTGTCTATCGCTGGAAGAGGTTGTCTTTGAGCTTCTTCAGAGTCGTTGGCGATGAAAGGGTGGCGGTGTCGATTGGACTTGGATGGTCTTTGAGGTTGGGGTGTTAGCGGAAGGTCTGGCGGGGTAGACGGTCCTTAGCCCCTGGGTGTACTTCCCCAGGACCCCACAGCCAGGGAGTTCTGGGCTGCACCTACCACCTCGGGCATGTTGAAGAGGCACGGAGCTACAAAAGGCACGTCATTGTTTGAGGTACCTCACACACCTACCTCTTCACCTAGCTGGACAAAGGGAGTGAGTTCTTGGAGCTATTGCTACCTCTCGAGTCAGCACAGCTCTCCACTGCATCTGGAGCTCTTGGAGCTCTCGGTGTTGAACAGCAATAATCACAGTGAACCACCACATGAGACGTCTCTGGTCAATCGAGCAAGTCTCATCAATCATGACAATGGCTAATGCAGAGTAAAAGAGGTTAAGGTAAACATTTGACCACAAACCATGTAAGCTCTAGGAAACTGCTCGCAAGACTCTGGTCTCCAAATTGGCCGCTCTGCTGGCCTTGTTCGCCTTTTGCGTCCCCTTTTGTTGACGTCCTTCTGTCTGTCTCTTGAGAATACACCAAGACCAATTCCTTATGCCAACCTCACTCAGTTGCGAGATAAATCCCCCTCCCTTCGCCAACGCCTCGCGCGAAAAATAAAACTGCACCCCAGCCACACCCGAATAACCAGTCTTCTTCCTCGAGACTCGCCTTCAGCTGTCCAGGTCTCGCCCCGCCTGCCCAGACCTGTCCTCCCTCATCCCCTGCAACATGCCTCTTGGCATGTATTCCTCTCCTTATACTTGTCTTCAGGGTCGGTTTACGAACCCCAATCATATTGGAAATCGTCATAAGCAAAACAGCAGCACTTCCTAAGTCACCGCTCCGGTGTGTTGAATAAAGTGCCTGCTGGAATAAGTACATCGAGAAGTGAAGCTCGGCACCCCATCGTCGCGTTGGCGGTTTGTGAAATGACCCCTAATTCAAGAGATCGATCGGTAATTTGGCAGTCACAATAAGGCCGATTATTTAGCTGATTCCCACTCCGCAAACGACGCAGAGCAGCGGCTCAGTCCACACCTTCTCGCCTTCAGTGACGTTCTCTCGAAGATCCCTGATTTCAATCGTCGATGGGGTCATGTCCATCAAGATCCTCGCCTCGAACAAGCCCTCCCACGGCTTTGCGTCGGCGGAGGACGGCTTCTTCTTGAAGGATCTCACCTTGCGTGACGACGCCGCTGCCGACACCTCGGGTACGGTTGGTGTGGCAGGAGTTGTGGGTGGTTGCGAAACGTGCTCATCGACAACGGCAGGCGTTCCCTCGGTTACTGACTGCCCGTTGATCTCTTCTAGCGCATCGCTCGGCTTGGCATCGATTGTTTGCTTCACGTCGGCACCGCTCTCGGTAGGGCTGAGGGGTTCGTTTACACCGTCATCGAGCGGCTTTTCTTCCTTGACCTTGTCGCTCTCAGCGACCGACGCTGTTCCGTCTGTCGGGGGTTTCGCGGTGAAGTGGGGCTTGTCCTTGCCAAGTCGCTCGTATGTTCGCATCAGGGTTTCCTCTCGAAGACAGTGTTCGTGTAGCCACTTTCCGCATTCCTTGTTGGAGCACCCGACGAGGGTCTTATCCGGGTTGGCGGGCTGTCGGCATTTGCAGGTGCGTTCAACTGACTGCATGACGGGTTAGCGACAATCGCCTGCTCTAGGCTTCGGGGGTATTTATGCATACCGAGAGCTGCTGGGTGCGACAGTCAAAGGCCTGACGCCAATAGAGGGCCTCCTGAATCTCGTCGTCGTTCTCTTCAATCCATTGCTTGACGGTGGCGGGCAATGTCACACTAACGACGTTGATGATGTCCACTGCTTCGCGTCAGTACTGAGACCACTGTCTAGAGAAGCATGAAACCTACTGTGGTTGGAAGCAATCAGCTCGTTGTGGCCGTGGTACGGCTGACGACCTCCCGTGTATCTCTTTCCTTCCATCGTGCCCTCCGGCAGCTCCTCCGGCCAGTACATCCAGTATATGCGCGCATAGACGTGGTGTTCATCACTAGCGCGGATCTCCAGAATGCGCGCTACCCAGTCATCTTCGGACTTGGACCGCTTCAGGACCTTCTCAGGCTCATTGGCATCTGTCGAGCCTTCCGCTGCGGCCTTTTGGCGTTGGACTGTCTGGTCGTTTGCGACGTAGATAAAGCCCTCACTGAAATACTTCGTCCCGTTTACTACCGCCCGTCACTGTTAGTGCAAGGCCATCGCAGATGGACTATCGCTGAGCAACTTACGGACGAAGCTATTGTATCTTGTCATCTCCAACCACTTCTTCTGCGGATGCACATGGTATTCCAAGTCCAGAACATCGTTAGCGCTCTTGCCGTTGAAGTCGCCGGAAGGGGAGAAGGGAGAGAGTTGCTTGGAGCTCTTCTTCCCATCTTCCTCTTCTTGCTCTGGTTTCCTCCTCTTCTTGGATTTCTTCTGTGCCTTGATGTCGGGTTCGGCGTAGGTGATGCTGAAGGGGCATTCGGCCTTGTTTTCCTCGACCTCGGCGCGAGGGCGCTTCCGCGAGGTGGACATAATTGGTGTAGTAGGAGGTTCGGAGTCGCAAACGCGAATACGGTGAAGTTATCGCAGGTATGAGAGTGATCGGAGTGATGCGATCTCGATTGATGGTGTCCGAGACGAATGACGTTGGTGCAAAGAGCTCGCTGGGATGTCGCGACCGAAGGGAAGGAGCACGGGGTGGCTGGAAGACGAATGGGTCGCCCAAAGGACCGGGGGGAGGTAGTATGAAGCAGTATGGCAAGCGCGCGGTCCTAGATGGGCGCTCTTTGTTGATTTTGTCAAGTGTGCAAATACTCTGGCAAGCCTGAAGATGGTCCAGGCCGAATATCGACGACCAATGATGGCCACGATGCGCAAAATTGGGAAAATCGCGGGTTGAGGATCTGGCAATTCCGGGACGAGGAGCGGAGCGCGTTCTTGCTACCCAGCGAAAAAAAGGTGGCGCAGGATGACTATTCTGCTGGGTCACGTGAGCGCGGCGTTCCTCCGACCAAACGTCCACTGCCACCTAGAGGACGGACCAGCAACCACGATGCGGGCAGCAGGTGTGCGGCGTGCGGCGTGCCACAGATGGACCAGGCGTGTCACGTAAGCACAGCAGACAACAGGAGCTAGAACCATCCGCGCCTACCAAAATCCTGGTCTGCCTCCAAGGTTCCCACAACAAGCGCCGACACTTATTTCTCCATTACCTGATTGGCTACGTACCGGTCTCGTCGCTTTACCATGACCTCTTACACCTGTAGTCTTCGTGTCTCATGCCATATGCCGTTCTTCTGATATGAATGAGCTGGATGATTGGTTTCAAAAGGATACCAGTTTCATCATCATCATTCAAATCAATAGTCAATTGCTTTTCCCCAGTATTCTGACGTAAATATGAACAGAAGAGTATGGGGATCAAAGAGCAACAACGAAGATAGGGGATACGACGGAGGCGGCGAGCATGTTGGGGGCGATAGAGACGACAACAGAAACAACGACAAAGTCGACTGTTCATTACTCGGAGCTTTTGAGTAAAACATACAATATCGCTAACTTGATTTACCTACGCCGTTGCTATGCAAATATGTTCGGTAATGGGGGCTCAGTTCCCCCTGGTCCGGTTATGCTCGTGTTCGACTTCTTCCTCCTCATCGTCATAGGCACTGAGAATCGGACGATCGTCGCTGTCCTCTGTCTCGCTGCCGGTTTCAGCCTGTAGACTCTTGAATCCCTCAATAGTCTCTGCAAGTTTCTGACCCTCCCGCTTGCCACGCTCCACGTTCACGCTCCAGATGAGAGGCGCCGGAAGCCCAACCAATGCCGCCAAGAACCAAAACGCCGGCCGGATATCACCAGATTGATCAATGATGGCTCCGACAATCGCAGGCCCAAAAACACTCGAACCTTTGTCGGATGCAGCGTATAGAGCGTAAAAGGCAGCTTCGCTTCCCTCGGGGATCAACTCGCCGTACAGCGATCTGCAATATGAACTCAAGCCTCCCAACACCAGTCCGTACACGGCAGCTAGGGGATACATTTCCCACGGTTGCTGCAGTCCGATCACGCCCCATCTCTGCACAATCGGCAAATATCCGAGAAGTCCGTAGATCGGAATGAGCTCGAAGAGACCGATACAGACAAGGATTGTCTGATGTGGCTTCAAGTGGAACTTGCGTGAGATGAAAGCCCAGCTGAAGGCACCGATAACACCAGCTATAGTGGAGATCACATTGATCATACCCAAAGCCCAAGGCTTCATGTGGAGTTGCGTTTTGGCGAACAATATGGCCGTGGAAGATGTAGTTGCAATCGCATCACTGACCAAAAACCATGCGCATAGAAACAGAACGATGTCTCGTAGGCGACGAGCAAGCCGGACAGTGTTGAATAACGATTTCCAGGCCATAGCCACATAAGTTGGCCAAGCTCGGATTCCTTTGCCCGACGTGATGGGCATTGGTGGACCTGGCCGAGGGCGGAGCCACATGGCAGCAGGGATCGTGAAGACTGCCTGTAAGATGGTCAGTAACGGTGGATAATGCGCCCAGGCGACGGGGATGAGATGGAGAGAGAGAGCCCGTCACATACCCACCAAAGACCGCAAAAAGACAATGCAACCCTTTGCGACCAGGTAGTGTTTTTCAGTGCAATCACTATGGCAATGGCGACACACTGTACGAATAGGCCGGCAATGTAGCCAATGCCAATGCCCTTGGCGGAAATCTGAGTGGACAGCTGGAGCTCGACGGAGGTGAGCTCCTCGTGAGTAGCTTTCCGAACCAACGGGTAGCCTCCGTTTCCGTTTCCATGCCCACCGAGTAAGGGCGAATGTTGGTCCTCAACCTCGGCACTGGCGGGATCTTCGTCAACGTGGGAACCATCGAGCGGTCGCGATTCCAGGTCCGAATGTCCCAAGTCGGGAGTGTGAACAGTCTCGGAAGCAATCACTTCCGGATGATGCCGGACCAATAGCGGCAGGAATGAGTTGAGGAGCACGAATGAGGCGCCAAAACATGTGTTCGAAACGATAGCCAGCAGAGCACCCAAGAGATAGGTGGTTTTGTTGACAAAGATATAGGCCATGACGGAGAAACTTCCAACCCAGGCGAAGGTGAGCAAAAGCTTCTTTCTCGAGTTGCCGTGATCTGCGGCACTGCTGACGCTCACGACAAGGAGAACCTGCAGCAGGACGCTTATGGAGAAGGTGTACATGGCGAAACTCGCCGTGTTGATCTCGATACCCAAAGGATACACGACGCATTGTCCATCAGTTTTGTTTTTCGAGTCGCTCGTACCACACGGGGTCGTTCGATCAGACAATAGGACGCCATTTTCGCGGGCGAGGGTCTCGAGGAGGATCGGGATGAAGGAACCTAGGCATCGTGTGGTGTCAGCGCAACGGGTTCGGGGCGGGGTGCACGGCAATGCTGTGGCTCCAGCATCTCGAGCTGTCCAGGCTCCACAGCTTGATCACTGTCTCGCGACGAATGTAACTGCTCGAAGACGGAGTGGCAGACTGCGATAACTCACCGATAGCTATTCTCAGTCAGCGCATGCACACACATCCAGATCCATGGGCTGGAAACTTACCACATATGACATAGGTTTCGGCAGCAAAGGCGTATGCATACCAACCAGACAGCTCCTTTTGGCTCGTGGGCCGAGTGTCTTCGCCTTTGTAACGGCCTGGGCCGTGAAGGAAACCATCACTACTGCTGCCGCTCATTCTGTCAAAGTCGGAATCTGTATCGGAACGCTCGTCATCGGCCTCGAAGTCGGAGGTGAAGGAGCGAAAAGAGCGTTTTGACAAAGTTGAAAGACGCGACCATAAGCGTGGTGCAGGTGGTGGTCGAGCGTGTTGCTCTTGTCTTGGAACCATGGCGGCTGACACGGGTAGGCCGCAGGTGTGGGCGCAGCTTTACTGGACGGCCAAGGTCGGACAGCTGACTTCTGTGCCTGTGCGGGCCTGTCACCTTGTCTCACCGGACGGGTGCACTCCGGTCACAGCACGCAACCAGAACAAGGTCCAGATGGCCCAGAACTGGTCAGAACTGGAGAAATGTCTCTTTCTCGTCTCTTCCGTCTCTTGTAACTTGCAGCTGCCTTGAGTTTAGGCTGCACTGCTGCAGAACGGCCCGCGGGAACCTGCCAACCTCTGTTGAGCACTTCACTTTGGACGGGACAAAGTACCTTCACCAAGGAAGTTGACTTACCAACCGGGCAGGTAGGTAATGCAGTCAGATAATGCGACGACGGAATTCCAGCGCCAATGCGGATTGCGGGTGCAGATGCGGGTGCGGTTCGGGCAAGGCACCTAGCACTGAAGCGTCGTACTCGTCGCAAGTGCTAGGCACCTCGCCAAAGTGAGAGCCGAGTTGATGACGGGCTTGTATTCGGACCCCGCTGATGCTGCAGCTCGGTCGAACCACTCGGTGATTTTCCACTTTCCTGCTACTGTTGGGCTGTGGTAGCAGCCTACCCAATCTGTTTTCCGAGGGCTCGTCAATGGAGTATTCGCTTGTGAGGGCCTGCCGATTCCGAATAAAGGATGCCGGCTGTAATGGACCCGAGAAAAGAGGCGACTTGTGAGAGGCGGCTATGCGCGCTGTTCAATAGTGACCGCTATGCGTCAGTCCGAATACGCCGTGTTTGCGAATTGCGAGGTCGGTCTTTGGTGCGCGGGGACAGCAACATGGGGCCACAGCGGATTCTATCAGTCAATACCAGGACAGATGATGGAAAGACGAGATAGAACTGGAAAAGAAAGTAGAACCAAAAACGGACGGGGAAAATGAAGCGAGGCAGGTTGATGTGTCGTCAGGTTTGCGAGATCCGGCTGTGGGCCGGCGTGGTTGGTTATATGGCGTCGCAAAAGTCGTCGAAAGCAGGCCGGGCCAGAGCAGAGAGGCAAGGACAGGGACATCCAGGGTGACAGTGTCAATCCATGGTCTCTCCCGGCCTCTAGCTCCATGTCTACGGAGTACTTGGTCGCTCTCTGCCCTTTTGCCTGTCTTCTGCGCCGCGGCTCCTTTGCCGGAGCCGTTCTAAGCTGAGCCAAGGCCACCAAAGGCCCGCCGTCCGCCGTTCACCACATCGCATCTCCCCTCTCAACCCTCCTCCGCCCAACCGCTCTCCTCCCTGTACGTCTGTAATGTGTGTAAGGGAGTGACAAAAATCTTCTCCAAATACCCCAGTCGCGACGAAAACCGTTGCCCAATCTCGCAAGCGCTGCGACGACAAACATGGATGCATCCAACTAGATCATCGCCGATGGGACGGTGTTCCTTCCTAGCGCCGCTGCCACGCTTGAAGCATATCGCGCTATGAGGCAATGGACTCCAATTATCGTGAGAGGATGCGCGTTGAACGACATGCGTTGTGAGACGAACCAGGTTATTCATTCGTCCGATATTCCATGGCCGGCATGCGTCGATGGATATGCGCTGCATCCGCCTTTGGGATTGGGCATTGATCGTACACCACAAATTCCCCATCTCCAACCACCATGGCCATTGGCACTTTGCGTTGCCTACACCGCAAGAGGCTGAATCCCACTGCATTGGTGAATTCTTCAACGGCCTCCCCGGCTCCCTTGTAGTTTCTCTTATTCGGCCTCATAGGGATACAAGACCTCCCTGGTCGACACGAATCAGCGTCTCAACCCCACCGGGTTCTTTGGAAACTCCGAGTATCATAGACTTAACAAATTCGAGACCTTGGAAAGCCGAAATATCAGTACAGATCTGTCAACTTTACCTCACCAGGTTAGGTTCACCAAGTCTCCAGGGGTTTGCGTTTCCTTGGCTAGAGCCGTGCCGTCTTGGGAGTGGTTGGTTTTTCAGTTGGGTAAAAACGATCCCAGATCAATTTTAGCTCGCATGCGGCGTTCCTTGGATGTCGATACTGCACAAACTACAAGGCTCCGTTCAATGAACTTTCGCACTCGACCACGCTCCTCTAACACTCGTTTATCTCATGATAAAATGCAGCTACTGTGTGTGTTGCAACCCAATTCTCGTCGCAGCACTGCGGCGAGGCTTTACGGCGATCCAAGCCGGACTGGGGCTTGCGGGGGCGGGCATTCTGCAAGTGCCCGAGCGATCTGCGGTTCCTCTTCGCGCCAGTGAGCATGTCTGCCCACCACATTTCAAGACCCGTTGGACCCTGAGCGACGATCACCGGCACGTAAATCAAGTCGGCGCAGACGAAAATTGCAAAGCGCGGACATGATGCGCTAGCATCGCCATGGTCGATGGTGTTAGTCGACAGTATTTGGCAACCAGAATCCGGGCAGTAGCTGAGTAGTATCAATGGCAGTGCCAAATTGTGCGTACTGGGAATTCTTGTCATACCTCGAAAACGCAGGCGGATGGCTGTCTGGACGCTGCATTCCGCCAAAGTTCACCGCTTCAGTTTAAAGTTCCGCGGCGATGGGCCCCGACGCGGAGGACCCATGGAATCCACTGTATGCAGCAGACATCTGTCCTGTGACTGAGTGAAACATGGACCTGGAGCTCCGGTTGCGACTCTCGATACTTTGATGAAGCGAAGCTCCAACGGAGATGTGAAGTTGAAGGTTGATGTATGGCTCGGAAAGGTGTTTGGAAAGACGACTTGATTCTGACTACCTTACTCCGTAGCTTCCATACCTACATGTTGAAGCGGTTGAGTGATTGGGCACAGACCCGGCATACCCTGCCAAGTTTCTGCCGATTTAGACTACACCGCCCCCTAGCCGGGTCTAGCGCGAGTGCACTGACCACTATTCTCCACACCGAGCATCTCCGACGCTCACTCATCGGCATCTTCACAGGACACACATGAGATTTCTCACCAAATCTGGACAGCAAAGCAACATAATCCGCATTCTGAACTCCCATTTCATAAAATGAGCAATGGCGAAGTGCCAGAGTGGTTAATGGGTTTGACTCGAATTAACTCTGTATTTTCAGAGCCTTCTATCAAATGGCTTCGGCCGCGCAAGTTCGAATCTTGTCTTCGTCGTGTACTTTTGCTTTTTACCGCCCACGGATGAGTTTGTGTCTTTTTATGAATGTCGACTTATGTTTCAGGCTTTCCCAGACGTATTCTTTCATTCAGACTCATGTTTTCTGTGTGGAAGGTGTTGGTTGCGCCAACGCCTTACATCCGCGCGGAACCCGCGCCCACCAAAAATTTGATCGATGCATTGAGATGCATGAGATGCATGAGATGGAACAACGCGATGAGAGCAATTAAAGTACGCTTTTGCCAAGAAAAATAATGATGCCAGTGGCAGGATATCATTTTAAAAGTCGAGACAAAGTCTCGACACGAAATAGATTTTACGAAAAGGGGGATATCGTGAAGGGTATGCCAAAAACAAACTTCCAGCCCAGGTCCAACCAGCATCCATCGCAACACATCAACACCCATAATTACCCTTTTCCAACAGACAAGTCTTTTCCTTTTTATTTCTTGTGGAAGGGGGCGAGGATCTTGGCCTTGAGCTTGTCGGCGACGCTGACACCCGAGTGGCCGTCGGCACGAGCCTGCGCAGCGGCCTTCTTCTCATGATCAATGTCCTTGTGGGCGGCCGACTTCTCCGTCTCGACGGCGTTGCCCGCACCGCCCCGGCCGACGTGGTAGTCCTGGCCCTCCATGGAGGGACGGTAGGCCTCCTCGGGGACGAGGTCCTTGTCGGAGCGCAGAGCGGGCTCCTTCTTGGCGTCGCCAATGTTACCGGCACCTGGATGGCAGGGCGCAAACAGTCAGCCTACAAAGCATGGTGCGTTTGACTATGATGTGATTGCAACAGCTGAAGACATCGTGGGGTGGAGAGTGAGCATGGTTAGGGGCGGGGCATCGGCCAAGTGGGCGATTGCGCTGATGCCGCTTGGCGGGCTGGGTGATAAGGCGATGCGCTGGGCGCACTCGTCCCGCGTCAAGACTCACCTCCACGACCTGCGCTGAATGCGCCAGTTCCCTGAGACCCCTCGGGGCCTGTTCTCACGACCTCGCCGTCGACGTACTGGGTGTCGTCAACGGCCATGTTTCCGGCGCCACCTCTTCCGTGAGATACTTCGGCAGTCATCGTGTTCGAGTTCAAGGTATGGATGTAGGGCGTGTGGTTCGTGAGCTATGGTGAGTGAGTTCGTTGTTGGATGAGTTCAGTGAGAATGTCTTTCGGTGGGAAACAACGTGGGTGCGCAACTTTATTTGAGTAACTTTGCAAGATGGGACGAGAGAATAACAAATCGAGACCAGGTACGTCAGCGATATTATATATAGATAAGGCACCTGTTCCTGGCAGCTCTCTACCGTACATCACATCATATGGTAAGGTGAGATAAGTGAAGTACTCCGTACTTATCAGTGTGTGTGAGTGAGCTCCTAGTAGGGATACCTCCCCGCCCCCCAAAGCTAAGGTTATCTCTCTGACAGAAGACAACCCATCCACGAACCTGGGAAGCAGCTCATCAAGCCTGCAACTGAATGCGGGATGTCTAGTGTCTTGGGGGCTACTGGGCGTGGGGATTCCAGGTAGGCGATACTCCTGGTGAGACAAGGTTTCCTCCATCTCTCTTCGAGAAGCACTTGCACATGCCTGAGAACTGGGACCCCCCCCCCCCCTGCCTCCACGGCACGACGGTACTTCTACACACATGGCATACTGGGACAAGCCAACCAACGGCTCGATGAGACGATCGGCGAATGACAGCAGCCTCTGCTCTGATAAAAACTTTTGGTTTACGTACCTGGATTTCGTGAGAGCTCTGGGAACATTACGCATCGGCATCAGCCCAGCGCTAGCCCCCAGTGGGCGCCGCCATCGGCACCCATTCCTGTTTCTTTGGGCCCATTTTGCGCGACCAGCTCAGAAATTGGATTTAGCATGCGTCGTTGTCACTCATGGACTTCACGTTGTGCTGGTATTGCGCTCATCGTCGGCGCTATCTAATCATCGGTCACCTCATTTTCTCGGAAGAGCAGTCTGCAGGCTTGAGCGGTTTGTTATTGAGAGCTAAACCTTCTCATCATAACCCCGGTCCTTGTCTAGACATTTGATGTTCAGTGGATGTCGTCATCGCCCCTCACCTGGTTATTTGCAGTGTTGCCGGTACAGCTAGTCGCGCAAGTTGACCAGCATGAAGGTAATGGAATTGTTGACGAAACGTTTCTGCTCACCATTTAGTCCATTCGCATTCAGACACCAACTCGGATGAGTGGCATACAAGGTTTGATAGTTCATTAAGGCGACATATTCGCATGAGTGGCACTGGGCCCGGATCAAATTGCTCCTTGCGCGCTCAGGATATCTGTGAGCTAGAGTCAAGTCGACTTGACCCTGCGGTTCCCTCAAGCCATTCGTTCAATTGTCTGCTGAGGCGCTAGAAGGAAATGGATGCAACTTTACCAGGATAAGCAGAAAATTTAAACTCAAGGAAGTGATTGTCTTCGAAATGAGTTCTAAAAAGTCGAGTTTCCAGTACTGGCATCTTCACTACAACTAACCTCACTGCCCCCCTTGCTGATATAGCTGTCACTGTAACTGTCCTCTCTGACTCGCTCTCCGTATATCCTCCATCGAATACGTTTCTAGAGACCCCGGAAAGTCGTAATAATGAAGCTGTCAGCAATGAGAAAGAGGGTTTGTTGCGCCATGCCTGGTGCCAGCGTCGCTGGGAAAGGCGGCGGCATCATAGCCGACACATCGCAGAGTTGGTAAAGTTCAAGATCTCCACTCAAGGCTCGCCGGTAATGGCCCTCGAGCACGTTCATTTGGTTATATTGGGGCAAATAATGAATCGAAAGGTGTCATGGTCTCTAAATGCTTCGAGGTAGGAGAACGGCGATCCAAAGCCAGTTTTTGAGAAAGTCGAGCAATCAAAAGCGCCTATGTTCTGGTTACCATGACTTCAATCACTGAGCTTATGAAACGTCTTTTCATCTTACTTCAAATCTATGCCACAGCTTACCCGCCTCCTCTTCTCGAAGAAAGACACTACAGCAGTGACACCGAAATGAGAGGCAGCCTTGTGAAATATCAGCCGGTGGGTAGCATCCATGCATGTCAGCCCTAGCTACAGTTACGATTGGCCGCAGAGAGGATGGCTAGCTGAGGCGATGCACCACGATACCATTTCTCCGCTGTTATATGAAGCTTACCTTCGCCCATGCTTGCGCTTGAGAGAGGGGTATCTCTAACCTTGCTTCAAAGACCTACATTTCGTGCGAGATGGATCCCATCACCGCCCTAACGAGTGCCGTCGAACTTTTCGGCGTTGCCCGTCAGATTCAAAGCCTTGTGGAAAAGTACAAGAATGCACCCAAGGCTGTGCACGAGATCATCGTCGAGTGCAACTTGACGAAAGATGTGTGCCTCAATTTGCAGAAACAAGTCTCACAGACTGATATCCTCAAAAACCCGGTCAAAAACAGTACCGAGGATGGTTTGCGGAAGATGCTTGATACATGCATGGACAAATTGAAGAAGACACTCAAAGATTTGGAACACGAAGTCAGCAAGGTGCAGAGCAAAAGTGACTCGCGCATGGGAAAGTGGGACAAGACGAAGTTCTTATGGAGGGAGGAGATCTTTTCAGATGCTGCGCAAAGTATCCAAGATCAGAAAGCCCGCCTTGGTATTGTTATCCAGCTTCTGCAAGTGTACGCAATGAAGACAAACGCCGAACAAGACAAAGCCACACACTAATAAGTCATAGGCGTACTGGTCAAGAAGTAAAGGAGGGCGTCCATAATGTACAGAAGGGTGTCGACACTCTCCGAGAGGAGGTTAGAGAGATATTGACCGAATTTCTCAAAAGGCAAAACCCCCCTCAACTGGGTTTACAACCACCATCGGAGTTGAAGAAGAGTAGATCAGATACTCAGATCAACACAACAGGCAAGCGATTTGCTGACGACCTCTTTGCCGCTGTACGAGGCGGGCGGCTTGAGGACCTTGAGCCCATTTTGGCCCAAGGCGCCTCTGTAAACATGGCCCTAGGAGACCGTGGTGACCGGGCCATACATGTTGCCGCTCGCGAGGGATTTCTGCTCGTCCTGGACCGGCTTATTGCTTCCGGAGCAGACGTCAATGTCCAGAATGCGCTGCAGGATACAGCATTGCACCAGGCGCTCAATCGAGGACAGATTCCCACTTCGTTGGCGCTATTGTCGAGCGGGGCCAGTTGGAAGATCAGGAATGCCAACGGGACCACGCCGCTACACACAGCCGTGAGGAGTTCTGCATATCTTGTTGTGCAATATTTGCTCGATAAGGGGGCAGACGCAAATGCTCGAGACAGATGGGGTCACACTCCCCTTTATAAGGCATGCATTCCCCCGGAGAAGGATAAGAAAAATGACTTTGTCATCAACCTGAAAATCATTCGGTTACTCGTCGAGCGAGGAGCAGATCCGACGCTTGGGGGTTGGAAAACCGGCAGAACTCCGATTCACGGGCTTGCGTCGAGTGGGCACGCAAAGGAGCTCGAGATCTTGGCCAAGGAGGCCAAGACTCTCGAACTACCGCTGACAGGAGACTCTCAGGGTGAAACGCCGCTCCTCGTTGCAGTCAAGAACAAACACCCAGGCGCCGTAGATGTTCTGCTCAAACGTGGAGCCAACGTGAACGCGAGAGAGACTTCAAAAGACGGTACGGCGCCGACTGCCCTATGGTACGCCGCTTACAACCCAGACCTAAGCATCGCGGCCAAGCTTCTTGAAACTGGCGCAGATCCGCGTGCAAAGAGCAATGGCATAACTCTTCTCCATCTTGCAGCGACGAAGCATTGGCTTGAGCTGGCTAAGCTGCTGGTCAAACACAAAGCCGATCTGGATGCCAAATCATCTAGTAACGATACACCTCTCCATGCGGCTGTATGGGTCAAGGATTTCCCGATAGTTCGGTTTATGCTAGAGAACGGGGCCAAAGTAGAGGCGAAGGGGTACCGCACAGCGACTCCGATCATGGCAGCAGCCGAGACCGGCTCGCTGCCAATGATTAGGCTCCTGCTTAAGCACGGAGCTCAGTGGTCTTACATGACGCCTCAAGGCTCAAACGCGTTTATTTGGTCATCGTCCGGCGGAAGCGTCGTGTGCGTGAGCTTCTTCCTCGGCTGTGGCCAAGATCTGCATCACAGGGCCGAGGGGGATTATACTGCGCTACACTATGCGGCGAGGACAGGCAAAATGGAGTGCGTCAAGTTGCTTCTAGAGCTGGGCATCGATAAGCAGGTCATGCCGACGAAGATGAGGGCACCCTTCAAGGTCAGGGGGACGGCAGCTGAGGTTGCGAGGGCGCATGGGGCCGTTGAAGTAGCGGAGTTCATTGAGAGGTATAGGGGCGAGTAGTGCAGTGAGATGATCACGAGCCTTGTTCGAAGTGGCCCCTGGATTCTCGCTTATTTTGAGCGATGGAAAGAGATGTAAGTAGAGGAGCCTGGTGTTTCTTTTCTCATTGATACGCTGTCAGACTGTTGGATATTTGTCTTGATCTGAATGAGATCAAGCCCTTAGCTCGATCTATTATCTTTGATACGTCTTCGACTCTACCAAAGGACCAACAATGCTCGTTGAGATGCTGATGTATAGTAACCCTCGTTCAGATTGAAAATGTGAAGAGTGAGACTATATATTTGAACAGGCTATGGTTTTTGTCCAAGAAATCGCTGAAAAGCAAGAAACGAGCGTTTCCAAATCATTCCGCGTGAGACAATGAAGCTTGTTCTCACAACACCAATACATGCTTTCTCATCTTACAAGGAAAGGCTTATTTGACTCTCAACCGAAGATACAGGTACTCAGCCATCACAAGGGGTTCAATAAGCTATGCGTATGAGTGAAAGGGCTCGAGCTAGAAACACGCAAGTCTGGTCAAGAGACTTCCCGGGGACGCCGTCATCACAAGGAGTACAATTGACTCTCAGCCCATGATGATTCGCTCCCTTTGAGCTGGCCATCCTCACCAATAACCATACTGGCCCAATATCCAGGATGGTGTGCAAGGGGGATATCGACAAATATTTAGCCTACGTAGGCTCAACATCAATATTCTCTTTCCACCTTGGTTTCCTTTTGAGCTGCCTTTTCTTCCTCGCACATGTTCTTTCTCTCGGACTATAGCTGAGGTAAACAGCCAACCGCAACAACCCATCAACAACGTCATCAGTGAGTCTTGCTAGGACTGTTCCATTATCCTCAGTATCTTTGAAACAAACTAAACGCGGAGCAGGACAGACACGCCCAGCTTCCTTTCCATTCAGAAAAGAGGAACACGGCCACCCGGTGTTTTGAGAGCGCGTGCCACTATCGACACTGGCATACGCATCAGAGTCTTCGCCCTGGAATATTTCAACCAGCAGCAAGAGATTGATGACGCGCATCTCCTGGCGACAATGCTGGTGTACATGACCGTCGGTCGTGACATTATCACCGCCCTCATCGTGGTCTTGGCTCTCCGTTCCGTCATCGTCGGAGGCACAACGACCTTGACGCTTCGCTACTTCATGATACTCTTTGCTCGCCACATCATCATCTATGCGACCGAGATTCCCTACATCATCCACAAGAAGAGGTGGACCAGCTTCTGCCGCCGGTATCAACTACCACGCAACGTCGCAAGATTCGGCACCTTCTCCTACCTCTGTATGCAGTTCAGCCTATTTGCCGTCGAGGCCCACCTGTTTCGGCTTTGGCGACAGCATCGGCTCGATGGGGGCGCGAACGTACAGAGCACCGGTGTGGCGTTGGCGGCTATCATCACTTCTATCACCGCCTATACGGTACGCCAGGCGTACATCAAGGTGCTCTTCCACTGGGAGCTCATGCGTAGCAGCCGTCGGGCCGTCAACTGAGGCCCCAGCGATGTGGAAATCATTGTCTATGCTACAAAGCACTGATGAGGCCTTCGTACTCAACTAAGAATGGGCTTTCGCATGCTTGTACGAAGCTCGGACTGGGATGGAGATGCATGGCTTTGGGTAAAGCTACATGGGAAGACTGGGGAACAGGACGAAAGAGGACTCGGCTAAATCGAGCAGATATCATCGCACTTGGCTTGTGAATAAAGATAAAACGCCTTATCCATAATCAAGACTGCGAGACATTCTTTTCACAAGAACATCGTGCTCAGGAATGGTTGTCGCCTTATACGTTTCCAAGAATATCTCTATACCGGAGCTAGGACCAGGCACTTTAATATTTCGGAAAGAGCACGTGACTTCGCGACGCACTCCAAAAGACCCCGCGATTTTCGTGTTTTAGTCAGTCCTAGCCCCAACGTCATTACTTTTTGACACTTCGCCCCTTGTCCAGATTTCGCCCCTTCGACTTGTGTAGCACAATGCAAGTGTAGATGGCGGTCTCGACAGTACTCGCAACATCAGAACCCTCGACAATTCGGACTTCTCGAGAAGAGCAACCCTTCACTGGGCATTTGTGGCAAAATGGGCCCTCCATCAACGGCAGCGCGGAAGAGGCCTACGACGACTCCCAAAAAACCGTTAACCAGGTTGCCTCCTTCGAAGAAGCCTGCAGGGAAACCCAATGCTAGCATTCTGAGCTTCTTTCAAAAGGCCGAAAAGCCCGAGCAGACGTTGTTTATCGATGGCCACGAAAAGCTCGTTGTTCCCCAAAAGGAAGATGATGAGGTACCAGAGATATATGATGCCGAACCATGGGAGGAGGAGGCGAGGTTTAATGAGGTTGAGGCGCCAAATAAGAAGCGGCGGCTAAGCCAAGAGCCCGAGAATAACGAAGGGGAACAGTCAGCCGCAAGAGATTCCAACAGCCCTGTGGTGTCCGAACCACCACCCTCATCACCCACAGAGAGGCCTTCTAAGAAGGTGGCCACTAAGCGGAAAGGCCCCTTTCTCGACGAATCTGACAGTGAAGGAGAAGAAGAAGAAAAGGTCCCTACAGCTCGGAAATCAAGTCTCATCGGTGCTATTCGCAGTCGACCGCCCATCGTCCCACCGGTCAAGTCGGAGGACGACGTGACGTCTCCAGCAATGAAGCAAGATAATGTTTCTACGCCGTTGGTTCAGCTAAAGGAGGAAGAAGAAGAGGCAAAACCGCCAGCGACGGAAACGAGCTGCCCGCCACCGCCATTGAAGGTTGAGGACTCGATCGACGCCGAATTTGCAAATGTTGACGACTTTGGTGACCTAGACGATTTCCCCAACGACGAAGATTTCGGCGGCGAAGAATACCGCATGATGCAGTTCATGGAGGAACAAGCCCGTTTGGAAGCAGAAGCCGAGGCTGCAGATACGGGCGACTATTCTTGCGACGAATTAGCCGATCCTGTACGGCCTAGCGATGCCATGGTGGCCAACTGTCCTATTTGCGACGGCACACTTGCCGGTATCACACCTGACGAAGCAACACGACATGTGAACGCCTGCCTCGATGGCAACCCAATTCCACTACCCCAACCCAAGGAGACCAAGGAAGTCAAAGATGAAGTCGCCAGACCGCCAATCCTTGAACCCCCTGAAGTAAACAAACGACTTGCGCGCGCAGCAGTACCACGAGAGGGCCAAGCCAACCCATTTAAGCTGAGCGAAGTCCAAAACAAGTCGACTTCTGCCTTCACCAAATTGATGTCTGGCCATGCTGAAGACGCTGCGTGGGCCGGCGCCGCTGCCGCAGAGCATTCATCGCGTGGAAAGCCCGCGTATCAACGGACCTGTCCATTTTACAAGATAATGCCTGGTTTCTACATCTGCGTAGATGCCTTCAGGTATGGTGCGGTCAAGGGATGCAATGCCTATTTCTTGAGCCATTTTCACAGCGATCACTACATCGGCTTGACTTCCACCTGGACGCACGGCCCAATATACTGCAGCAAAGTCACCGGAGACCTGGTCAAGATGCAATTACGAGTCGCTGCTAAGTGGGTCATTGCTCTGGAGTTCAATCAGACGGAGGAGGTCCCGGGCACCGAGGGTGTGACGGTGACTATGATCCCTGCCAACCACTGTCCCGGCAGCTCCCTATTTCTGTTTGAGAAGACAATGGGAAAGGGTCCAAATGCGAGAATGCAAAGAATCTTGCATTGTGGCGACTTCAGAGCCTGTCCAGCTCAGGTTGCCCATCCTCTACTCAAGCCGGACATACAAGATTCGGTATCAGGCAAACTCAAGCAGCAAAAGATTGATGTTTGTTACTTGGACACGACCTACCTCAACCCCCGCTATTCTTTCCCGCCTCAGAACGACGTAATAAAGGCATGCGCAGATATGTGCAAGTCACTTGCTCCAGACCAGACGTCAGAAGACAACACATGGGACAAGATCAACAGAGAGGCTGGCACGGAGACGGTCAGCAAGTTCTTCACGAAGACAACTGCGGACGACGCCTCTGCAAAGGCGAAGAAGAAAAATGCTCCAAAGGAACGTCTCCTTGTTATTTGCGGTACCTACTCGATTGGTAAGGAGCGGATTTGCAAAGCTATTGCCCAAGCTCTGGGAAGCAAGATATTTGCGTCCAAGTCGAAGATCCGCATTGTGTCCAAACTCGGAGACCCAGAGCTGACGGCACTTATGACGGATAATCCGCATGAAGCTCAGGTTCACATGCAAATGCTGATGGAAATCCGCGCCGAGACACTACAAGAATATCTCAACGGGTACAAGCCGCATTTCAGTCGTATCGTAGGATTTCGACCTTCAGGTTGGAACTACCGTCCACAAGGCGCTAGCAAGGCGGTGACAGCTAGCACTCAACCTGGCACGATCCCGATGACACAGATTCTTCAAGGCAAGGCTTGGCGGCCTCGGTTTGGGGCAAAGGATTTCGTCGCGCAACGCGGCAGCACGAAAGAAGCCATGTGTTTTGGTGTGCCATACAGTGAGCATAGCAGCTTCCGGGAGCTGACCATGTTCGTGATGTCCCTGCGCATCGACAAGGTAGTACCCACGGTCAATGTCGGCAGCGAAGTATCGAGGAAAAGGATGAAGGGCTGGATTGATAAATGGTTGTCTGAGAGGAGAAAGGGCGGACTCGTGCATCCTCTCGAAGGCGAAGAGGCCGAGGGTAAAGAAGTTGCGCTGTGGAACGGCAAAGATAGCCGTGGAGGAGGCGTCTGGTGGTGATTGCTTGCTTCATCAGAATAGCATAATGAATAATGAATACAATGCGGTCGGGCGCAACTTCCGTTGAACATTTGGTTTGTTTCGTAGATCTCTGTCTGGATATCATATCGCCTCTATTCATACTCCATGAGGCGCTGCCACACCAGGTCTTGCCAGACGCCAAGAATATCGTTGAGCACGTGTACCTAGTTGTGAGGTTTTGGCCTTCATTCCACCGCATGCGAGGACCGGCCTTTTCAGTGCCCCGGCCATATCGCCATGATTAATATGCGTCATTCTGAAACCTTGGACCCTTCCGCTAATAGCCTATTTCGCCTTTGCGGCCTGGGCAGCAGCCTCTGTGATGGCGTTAGCGCTATCCCCATACCTGCGATGAACGGGATGGAAACGCAAGACTCACCTCTGCGCGTCGCGTCCTCCAGAAGGGGCACGTCTACTGAGCCAGCGGGCAAGTGAACATAACGAACGACGGAGCCGCGGATGAAGACATTCTTGACAGAGCTCTACATATTTTCGTTAGCGACATTCTCAAGGCTGGCTCCTCAGCCTAATAAGGATGCGTGAGAGCCTTGGTGCAAGGGGGGGCAGGCGGCTGACGGACCAGATGCGGGTACTTGAGCTCCTCGACGACAGCGATTTCTTCCAACTTGATGTTGAGGTACTGATCGACGCTCTTGAGGATGCCGCGGATCTGGATGTCGTTCTTGAGCTCGACGGTGACCTCGTGGTCGATGAGCGTCTTGAAGAAACTAGTGGGCGTAACGTCAGTGACTGCATCATCCAGCATGCGCGGGGCGCAACTCTGGGCTTGAAAGCCTGTGAATATCGCGTTCCCCGAGTGAGTTTCGAAACTTACCTGAAGAAGAGCATGGTGGGCGGTTGAACTGGATGCTGAGGTGTGATGCGCCGCTCAGTAAGGTCGTGATGCTCTTGATTGAGTGCGAAGAGGTGTGGGGGCTTGCGTACTGTGTTTCAGTACAGTGTGCACGGCTATCTCAGTGTTGGGCTTCATCATGGATCACACTGTGATGTGGCTTAGCCCTCGTGGCTGACGGCTTCCGCTAGAGCCAGTTCTGTGGTGGCAACTGGCCACTGAATCGGCCAGTCCGTTCAGGGGAAGAACTCACAAAGTGATCAGCCTCAGCGGCGACTTTTATTCAACTTCATGTAACTCGCACACCTTCATATCGATTAATCTGGTTTTCTGTCCTCTTTCTGATCCAATTCTTGGCATCTTCTAGAGTCACTGTCATTCGCTTAGGTGACCCTCACGAAAAGCTTGGTCTCTGAATACAAGAAAGTTATGTCTGTGGTCAGGGTGACTGAATGGCGGAAACTGCCGCTTAGTCTAGCTGAGCTATGCATTGACACGACTCTTCGATGTGGCCAGTCCTTCCGATGGCGTAAAGTCAATGACATGTGGTCAGTCACATTGAGCTCTTTGCATAATCATTCAATTCCGCTAAGTTTTCATCCAGGTGCTGCACATTGTATGGTCGAATCGTGTTATTAAAGCAAGATCCAACTCACCTGCATTACAAGGTCACTTGGCCTACGAAACCAACATATCCGCTCACCCCTCCAAGTTTTGACAGCGAAGCTAGTGAAGATGACACAGAGGAGTTACTACGGCATTATCTGAGCCTCAAGTTGGACCTCAAGTCTCTGTACGAGGAATGGTCGAAAGCGGATCCCAACTTTCGCAAGAGGGCCCCAGAGTTCGGAGGTGTTCGTATGCTGAGCCAAGACCCATGGGA